GTGATGGATGGAATTGGTGATGTTGAGATTCCACCTGAATTCTTAATTCTTGATACAAGTTCTCCTATAAAGAGTATAGTGGACTTCACTTATCCAAATATATTAGAAAATATGAAAAATTATTCTTTTTTTTAAGGATAGAGCATTATTCGCACCATTATTTAAGGATAGTTGAAATGATAAATGAATTTGTTCTGTCCCTCATTCCAGGTCATGAAAAGGAGTACTTGAGTTCTGATTCTTCGTGCCAAGCAGAAACAGATGTAGGTGTTGATGGCGATTAGATAACGGTTGACTTTTTGAACAAAATCAAATATTCGGCAATCCCAAACCACAAAATAGTCTTGAAAAATGTGTACTGATTATGCGATTGAGGAACATTGACCAAACATCTGGATTATGTGATGGGACAAGATTAATCGTTCAAGAGCTGCGAAATAATGTTATCGGTGCAATTGTGGTTTCGGTTAATCGAGTCGGGGAAAAAGTTTACATTTCTAGAATGAATTTGGTATCATCTGATCCAGGGCTACCCTTGAAGTTTCAAAGAAGACAAATCTCGATCGCCATATGTTTTGTTATGACTATCAACAAAAGTCAAGGTCAAACGTTGTCATTTGTGGGATTAGTTTTAACCAAGTCAGTGTTCACACATGGTCAACTATATGTTGCTGTTTCACGAGTGAAGACAAATACAAGATTAAAAATATTAGTTCTAGATAATAATGGAAACTCTTGCAACCATACCAAAAATGTTGTATACCCTGAAGTCTTTTAGAAAATTTTGTATTGAAATAAACATTGTTAACTCTACATTTTGTTCCTTAAACATTATTTATTTTACTTAGGTTTTTTCATTTGTATTATTAAAAATCATGCGAGCAATATATTTTCTTTATTCCAAAAAATAAATTTCACTGAAATAATTCAGAATCGACATAAATTTCTTTTGACCCCGTGCATGGCACGGGTCATAATACTAGTTACCTAAACATCCCAGTGTATTACTATAACTTTCTTATCAAATGATCCATAAAATCCACAAACCAAAAATCATTAAAGAAGCTACCAAACCCAAATCCTTAAGAATATGTTTAGATACAATGAACTCTTGTTTCTCCATTTTATATCTCTCTCTTATTATAATAAGCTTTTATAATATCAATTCCTGATAATCCCAATCTTTTTTATGTGCAAAGTGTCTTAAACCTCTAGATGGATTCTGGGTACAGAGAAAGTGGTTCTGAAAATGAGCAAGAAACATCTAGCTCCAAAAAAGGAAAGAAGCAATATCATCGTCATTCATCTAAACAAATTCAACAACTTGAATCGTACGTAAGATTTAAATTACTTACTTTTCATCATTGTTTATATGTCTCGTGTCATTTCTGATTGAATGAATAATTATTCTGCATATATGCAGACACCTTGAACTTTTAATTATAAAATCAGAAGTGCATTATTGTAGATTTAGAATTATTCTTTATCTAGACTTGTGATGAATATTTTATGTATATATATATATATATATATATATATATATATATATATATATATATATATATATATATATATATATATATATATATATATATATATATATATATATATATATATATATATATATATA